ATCGTTCCCTCACTGTAAATGGGATTGCACGTGGTGCTGGTGGAGGAGTTGCCGATGGAGTTTTGAAGGAAGTCTCGCACGAAATGCGTTTTTGAGAGATAGCAGATGCACGAAACCCTATGTTTTTCCATACAAAGTCCGTCCCCGAACCTCGATGATCTACCTCTGCGGTGCGACGGGTGCGAGACGGTCTCGTGTGTGGTCGGATCATGGGCGGATATTCTCGGATCATGGTCGGATCGGTTCCGCATTGTAAATGGGGTTTCAACTGTGTTTCGTGCATGTGTGGTCGACAGAATTCCATTGTGATTTGCAACTGTAGGATCGTTCCCGCAATGTAAATGGGATTGCAAGTGGTGCTGGTGGATGAGTTGCCGATGGAATTCCATTGTGCTTTGCAACTGTAGGATCGTTCCCGCAGTGTAAATGGTTGCGTCAAGGTTGCTTCGTGCCGTGGCTGCATTGGTAATAATTACTATTGTCTTTTGCAGCTGGACTTCGTAAATCGTATTGGAGTGGCTGCATGAAGGCTGCCACAGTGATTTGTCAGCAGATTTTCTCCATTTTGGCGCTGATGATTTTCCTTCTAAAAATCCTTTTAAAAAGTGCTTCAAAATCGTCTTTTTTTCGCTCTGGCGTCGAGATTCGGTTTTGGAGCTACAATTTCCGACGCCGTTGCGCGTAGTTCTATCGTGTTTTGGAACTCAATCTCTGCAGATCGCATTGTAATGGCTGCGTCAAGGTTGCTGCGTGCTGTGGCTGCATTCGTAATACTATTGTCTTTTGCAGCTGGATCTCGTAAATCGTATTGGAGTGGCTGCATGAAGGCTGCGACATGGATTTGTTCGCAGATTTTCTCCATTTTGGCGCTAGTGATTTTCCTTCTAAAAAACCTTTTAAAAAGTGCTTCAAAATATCCCCCTTTGTATTAAGTGAAAGGGTTGGTGTTGACAATTTTATAGTGATAAATCAGGAGGACATGACCCCCCTTTCCGAAAATGCATCTATAGACTCAGAGACCCCAAGGTATTTTCAAGTTGACAATCTCTATAGAATCGATGCCGCCAAGTCACTCTCGTAGATGGTTGGGGGGGTTAGTTGGCCTTCTATAAAATCAGGCTCCCCAACCCTTCTTTATTGACAGCTGACCTGAATACTCTAGTTGCTCTTGCCCATCTTGCCTTATGCACTTCAATTTTATAGAGCCCAAAGGCTCCAAGTGTTCACTGTCAACCCCTTCAATTTTATAGACTGGTGAAAAATGCCTGAAAGATCTTGAAAGTCGCTCTGTTTCATTTTGTTTCCATCTGTTTCCATCCGTTTGCTCTTTTTTAGCGGAAAGGCGGAAAGGCTGGCTCAAGGACTTCGACCCAAAAACGGTGAGACACACTGGGGAGACACAACGGGGAGAAAGAAAGGGGAGACACAACGGGGAGACACAACGGGAAAATAATGCAAAATGAAAAATGTCACTTTTATAGTTTGTAAACCAGAAAAAACTGTTTTTGTAAGATATTGAAATGTCAAAATTGTACATATTTGCTGAATATAACTGATGATAACTGATGAAACCCTGATGATGGATCTCCAACAAATCTCCAATATATCCCAAAAGTATCCAAAAGTATCCAAAAGTTTCCAAAAATATGTCAAGATTCCAAATGATTCCAAAATATACAAGGATGATCAAGGATGATCAAGGATGATCAAAGAATTGTTGTGGGAAATTGGTTCTGCCAATACTTCTCTATAAAATTGAAGAACATGACATACATCCAAAGAGAACATATCCCACTGTAGAATCGCAGTCCCTAAGACTCTCTGCTGACTAGTCCTCAGTGCTGTATTCAACATGAAATCTCTATAGAATTGAGGCCCCAAGGTCCTCTATAAAATTGTAAGCGTTGACGTTGGGTAGGTACCCCTTATTAAGTCAGGGGGTTAAAATGCACCATTTTCCTGGCCCCAACGTTCTCAATTCTGTAGAGGAAATTCCAAGGGGGATTTCAAAATCGTCTTTTTTTCGCTCTGGCGTCGAGATCCGGTTTTGGAGCTACGATTTCCGACGCCGTTGCGCGTAGTTCTATTGTGTTTTGGAACTCAGTCTCTGCAGATCGCATTGTAATGGCTGCGTCAAGGTTGCTGCGTGCTGTGGCTGCATTCGTAATACTATTGTCTTTTGCAGCTGGATCTCGTAAATCGTATTGGAGTGGCTGCATGAAG